GGGGGGGTGGAGCTTAAGGGGAAGTGTAGGGAGCGGGTTTCTAGGATATACCCTTTGGTGGGTTAATGATGCATCGAGGGGATTGGAACCTGGAACCATGGCAATGAGATGATATATGATGGAATGAATGGAAAACTAAAGTTCTCTCATGTAAACTACCATATAATTCACAATAAAACATTAAAAAAAAAAAAAAAGACTGTTGGTGGAATTATGGATGTCAAAGGCAATACTCATGAGAACTCAGAAGAAAGAGAAGAGAGTTGCAGTAGCAGAGATGGCACAGAGGGTGAGAAGAAGTGGCAGACAAACTGCAGCATTAGAAACAGGAGACTTTCACAAGATGGCACAGAAGCTGACCCACGGAGCAAGAGATATGAGCACCTTCATGCAGGAGGCTTACTGGAGGAGTGGGATGCCACTGGACACTAATCAGTATAGCTGAGGAGTTTTGTGACACTTAAGCAGAGCAGAAACCAGGCTGGCCTCTCTTCTAGAGTTCAAGGAACAAGGAAGCAGAAGCTGAAGATACAAGAACCATGGGGAACAAAGCTTCCTCAGTCTCAAAAGTTAGACCCATGATCTCTTTGTTTTCTAAGGGTGGGACCACAATTTCCTAAGTTTCAAGGTGTTGACTTCTTCACCAACTCAGCTCTGGAGTGTGGGTCTGACATTAAGATGGGGTCTGCCCAACGCAGAGGGAGCAAGGCTGCGATGTCCAAGGGGATAGAAGAACTGAGCCTTCTGGGGCCGAGGGGGTAGGATCCCACTCAGACTGACTTGGGGAAGGGGTTGCCAAGGTTGAAGGAGCAGATTTGCAATTCCAGTGGTCTAGACAGAGGAGCTCATGTTTAGAGTTGAGGGGCCTCTACCCAGAACCCAACACCCAGTCTAGACCATTGCCTAGATGGTCTCAGAGAACATAGGATTATTTTCAAGGCTTGAGAGTGAATGCAAATTGTTCTGCTGGATTTTTAATTTGCTTGGTGCCTATTATCCCTTCTGTTTGTCATGTAAATGTATGTATACCTTTCACCTATTCCACCATTGTATTTGGAAGCAGATAACTTGTATTCTAGGTTCACAGATGAAAAGGAATTTTGTCCCAGGTTGAAATTTGAACATGGAAGAATTTTGTGATCTATAATGGGTTTGTGCATTTTTGATTGTATGTCAGTTAGTGGCATTATGTTAGGTGCAAGTATGACTTTATGATTGTCTTTATTTAGAGATTATGTATGGTGATGTATGATTATGTCCAGGTGCCAAGTTGACAAGGGGTAGACTATGACAGTTAAGGTTTACCTTAACTTGACTCAGCAAATGGTTTGACAGTTGAGATA